TATATAAAACTATCATACTTTCCAATTAAATACTAAGACTGCTAAGGTGTGGTTATTGCTTTATAATTACATGCTTGTGACATCAAAATGCAGCCGATGGTTTAATACATGACGTCACCCATTACACCTGCTGTTTACCAAATAAGATCATATTGGTGGTACTTCCTTGTGCAGTTTTGAATGTTATTGTCATGGTCTTGATCCCTGGAAAAAAAAATGCTTCTGAATGTGTGCCTCACATAAATTGCTCTAATAAAGTAAAAGTACCTTATTGGAGATGGTTTTTTTTAAAAAAAAAAAAAAGTTCAAGTACTGCTTATGATAGATACTCTCTATTTAAAAAAAGCTATTAACAGAGAATCACAACGTTTTACTCTATTTAAAATTGAAATAATCTTTGTCAAAACTGACTTACTGACTGCATTAGAGTGCTGACATGCTGTGTGATATCTCAAAATCTTTCTGTCTGGACTGGGACAGCCTGTAGCTGAGTGTGGTGGTAACTGTTAGCACATAGGCAAGTGGTTACCCAGGTTGTGATAGCTGGAATGAAAGGAACACAAAAATGATGTTAGTGTATTCCTTAAAACTCTGTCAAGAATTGTCTGACAGCAACTACTCATGTTTTCATCTTGCCTTTGGATTCTGACTCTTAAACTGGAAGCAGGAAACTGAAGTCTTCTTGTAGTTCTTGATGAAGAATTGACCCTTGTGGCTCTCAGAAAGGACCTAGTGCTCTTTGAATTGTTTTTAACAAAAATGTTTCCTTATTACACCAGTCAGCAGTGCTTTCTGTTGTGATACCGTGACAGTTGTCAAGAGGGATTGTATTAATGCATCATTTTAGGGTGCTCTGTGTTGATGCTGCAACTGATCTTTATTTGTTAACAATTCCTTCCTTTCTGCAGTCATTCTGTGTAGCAGCATTGATGAGAGTGTTGCTGTTGATAGTGACCAAGTGTGTGTGTATATATGAATAAAATGGGGTGGTTTTTTTTTACAATTTTCTTATTTAAAGGCATATGCAAAAATAAATTGTTATTCTAAGTGTGTGGGAGGAAGTAATGTGACAAAAAATCAGACTAGTCATTAGACTAAAATCTTGGATTGTTGGTTTAGTCTGAATTGTACTTAAGGCTGCTGGATTACAGAAGCTTGTGTCCCTGTAGATTCTTGCTGGTTTCACTTTTTTATAGCTAAAGCTGTTCAAAGCATGTTGTTCTTGGGGGTGCTGGCCTGTAGTTACAGCAATGTTTCCAGTAGCTACCTACCCAAGTGGATAGAATTGGGTCAGAAGACGTGGAGCCACTCACTGCAGGTCGTGCTTTGGGTCACTTGTAGAGTTCAGGTGATGGTTCATCTTGGTGTCCACAGGTTCTTGCTATAACCATTAGGGAAATGTCAGATGGTTTGCACACATGGATGGCAAAAGGAAGTTAGATATGCTGCATTTCTGTTGCTGTGCTAGTCTGGGTGTTTGCTGCTGGCTTGTGAAATGACCATTTTCTCTCTTTTTTGCTCCTTGCCTATTAGCAGTATAAGTAGGAGAAGTTAAATTTTTTTAAGGTCTTTTGAAGAAAACTGCATAACTGAACAAAATTATTGTAGTCACACCACAGCTCTGAAGAAGAGATGATATAACTCATCAGATTAGGAGCTACTGAAGAACTTGTAAGATTCTAAATTGGTTTTATATTCAGCAGTGTGAAAAATTAGTTGAGAATGCTTGATTCTAATGCAATACTTGACTCTAAATACTCTTGGAAATCAGGTCACTTAATAAAGAGTTTTTACTCTGATATTTTTAAAAATAAAATAACCTGGTATAAGTGTACTTGTGCTGTGAGAGTTACAGCCTGTGAGTGGCACTCTGTGGCATAATCAGTTTCCTGAGAAAACTGTTGCCTTTTGGTTTTTATACAGGCTTTGATTCTGACAATTCTTCGGGAGAGTTTTCAGAAGCAAATCATAAAGTTGCAGAAATGCTTGATCTAGATCCACACCAAAGTAATAGGACTGGAAAGCATAATGGAAAGACAGAGATTCAAGAAAATGGAATTAAGAGACACAGGTAAGCGTGTCGTACTACACAGTAAATGAGAAGCGAGTACATGTTGGCCCAGTCAGTGTCTTTTGGGGCATTACTCCTCTTATTGGAAGAGGTTAACTCTCTGGAACATTTCACTTGTCTGTTTCCTATGTCAACTCTAGGTTAGTGTTTTACTTCCTTTAGAAATACTTCATTACCTACCAGTGAAAATGTCTTGTTGTTTAAGGGGCTGATAATGACAGTTGTTTTTTTTTTCCAATTACAGGACATCATTACCTGCCCCAATGTTTTCTAGAAGTGATTTTAGTGTGTGGAGCATATTAAAAAAATGCATTGGCCTGGTAAGTTAGCTTGGATGAAATATGCTGATGTTAGGTCTCCTAACTTCAACTGGTTAACTTTATTGCTTACAACTTATGACACAGGAAAAAAAACCTGGTGCATTTTGCATTTTTTCTGTAGGGAACATCATCTTAAAACTGCAGCTCTCTAAATCTCAACGTTAATTTTCTAATGGTACTATTTCCTTGCTTGAGCTGTTAGAGCATGTGAATTGGCATTTCTAATACTGTCTTATATCCTGTAAGAACTAGACTAAAGCCATTAAAAATACAGATTAACACACTGCTCTCTTCTCTGTTTTTTTAATTCTTTACTTAGCAGAGTGTGATTTAGGGCTCTGTTCTGATGGTTTGTTCCCTGCCCCCCAGTGTAAGCACTTTGTGCCTAAAAAAATTGCTTTCATCTGATTGAAGGGATAGAAAAGTTTGAGATCTGTTAGAGTTTCTTAGAGAACCCAATGTAGGCTTGGAGTGTTAATAGTGTGATGATGTAATTGGGTCATAAGATTTATTCCTGAACTCAGAAACATAGACCTTTGCATTGCTCTGGGGTGTTAGAGGATGCTGATGCTTGCATTGTTACTGGCCATCACTGCTGTTTCCTTTGAGTCCTTTAAGAATTCACTTACATGTTTGATTACCTCATTCTTATGAGGAATGAAAATGCTGTTCTGCACTGGAGAGCGTCACTGCCAGAGCTGCCTTTTGGCAGCGTTAAGTAATTCCGTTCATATCTATTCTAGGTCTGCCAGTGCAGTCCTTTGTGAATGCAACAGACAAGTCAGTGAGCCCTTCTGCTGGATTAATTTATGTCATCTATGAGATACAGCTGTACTGCCAAACCTCCTTTTGTTAGGATGAGTGACCTATCTACTAGAATGCTTTGCTGGGACCAAATCAATTTAAGTCAGTTAGGGATAACTTTTTTTTTTTTTTCCCCTCGCTGTCTGTGACAATGTGAGGAAAATGTTGCATTAACTTGTGGCTTTTTCCTTTCCACTAAGTTTTAAGCACTTAAATGATGCTTTAGTGCTCAGTCACGAGTACAGCTTTTTAATTAAACAGCCAAATGTGCTCGAATATAGTAGAAGACCAGGGGAGTTGGAAACCTCTACATGAACTTAATGTCTGTCTTGTATCCACATGTGAAATGAGAAACATTCTGATGCAAATAACAGGTTGCTTGAATAAAGCCATTAAAATTTTTTTAGAGCAATCAAAATCCTGTTCTTTATGTCACTGTTCCTTTTAAAGAATAATTCATGGTTACTTCAGTAAAATAGTTAGTTTTCATGCAAATAGGATTTCAAAGGAATGTGTGGTACTTAAATATCAGTTATGAGCTGGTTGACACGTTATTGCTGCTATCTATGGAAATTTTAACCTCTTTTTAACCTCTTTTTGTTTTATGTAGACCACAGAATAGAAGGTAACATTTTTCTTGAATTTACTAGGTTAGCTGGATCGATTTTTGAAGTTGTTTATTCTTTCAGATTGCTAGTAGGGTTCTGCAGTGCTTCTAGCCCCTTTCAGCTGTAGCACTTAGAGGTCTACCATAGGCTTGCCAAATGTCTTTTGAAGAATGCTATAAATAACCTAATCCACAATTTTTCAGTGTTCTTGTTGTTGTCACTTGTTAACTTAGTGTTTAAGAAATTAACTTATCCTTTTGTTACCTAGGAACTGTCTAAGATTACGATGCCTATTGTCTTCAATGAGCCATTGAGTTTCCTTCAACGGATAACAGAATATATGGAACATATATACCTCATTAATAAGGCTTGTAGTCACGCAGACCCTCTGGAAAGAATGCAGGTAAGTAACAGCCACCACCTTCTGGTTAGTTCAGAAGAAGTTTTTATCTCCCAATCTTTCATTTTAAGACAATTTCTCCCTTGAGTGTATTTCTTTCTCTGGGGCTATCATGAGAATGCCTGTTTTTGTCTTTCTAGAGAAGTTTCTTGTTTCAGAGTGGCTGTATCAGATATCTGTGACACTTTCACACTTGATGCTGTGCACAGAGTTTGAGTTAGAAGTCTAGTGCAGGAGAGTGTCATAACTGATGATACCCAAGGACCTCAACTCTTCTCAGGACTGGTTTAACTGTGACTCTTCTTGTGGTTTTGTGTGTTGTGAAGATGAAATCTTGGCTTTAAGTCATCCTAAATTGATTTGTTGAGTGACTCCATGACTTTTAAGTTACTGGATGAAAAATGGTTGTGATAGAGACAAGCTTTACCACTCTTTTCTTCTCCAAAACTGGTTGTTATTGGGAGTACCTACAAGAAGGAAGTGGATATAGTGAAACCAGGCCTGTGTACATTAGGTTATACTGGCATTGCTCATAGCTCTGTTTTGACTTAAGTAAAACTGGAATGTATATCTCTGTGTTTGTGTAGCACATATCCCTGCTTATCAGCCTTCAGGAGCTTCTAAGTGTCATTTGAACCTGCTGGTGTGATTGAAAAGATCTCATCTGTGTTAGAAGTGATGCTTGCCTGGCACTAGGAAAAGCAAGACTGTTCTCAGTGACTTGAGTGTGGGGGACAGTCAAACCAGGGGAAAAGCAGATTTAAAAAAAAACCAAAACAAAACAACTATCATTTTGGAGGATAGAAGGTGAAGAAGCGTGGAGCAGAGTGTAATCTGACAAAATTTACTACAGAAAATAATTCCTTTTGGAAATGAGATTCTTATTAATTGCTCATATTTTCCGACTTCTATATCACTTACAAATGTTTTGGCCTTAAGCAGTATATAGCTCTTTCTTTTTGGTAGAATAATGAAATACTGTAATGTGCAACAAATGTCATATATTAAGCTTACAGTTTTAATGTCCTATTCTCATAACAATGTGTTTTTAATTTGCTTATAGGCTGTAGCTGCTTTTGCAGTTTCTGCTGTAGCTTCTCAGTGGGAGAGAACTGGCAAACCATTTAACCCGCTGTTAGGAGAAACCTATGAATTAACCAGGTAATAATTACTTTAAATTGGGAGCTGGGGCTATTTGTGTTCCTGAGTTAGCATCTCATACTAGTTTGGTTATTCAGTGAAATTAAAAAAAAATCTACTAAAATGCATTTCTGATGATAGCTAAAATTGTTATACCCAAACAATCTCAAAATCTTTGAGAAGTTGTTACAGAAGCTAATGATTTTACTTCTATGTTTAGGCAGAGTATTCTCTGAATTATTCAGAGAAAAAATGGTCTATGTTCTTCCACCAAAGACAATTCCTGACCAGAGACTAGTAATTAATTTAGTGTTTTGCTCATCATGCCAGGTAGAGGAGTTTAGTTTGAAGGACTTCTAGCTTGCTTAAATAAATGGGTAATATGTGTGCAGTGGAGAAAAGAATTTTCAGTCAGACCTTCTCCTGCTGCTCAAAGAGTTCCAGTATTTTCAAGAGTTATTTCAGTGAAACCTCTTCAAATGCCTTTCTGGATAGAAAGTCATTTGGGTGATTGAATGGGGTCAGTTTGGGGTGTGAAGAGAAGGTGTTCAGAGTGCAATTTCTTTCATTTCAGTAATTGTAAATGTCATGGAACCCGAAGAGGAAAAGTTTCACCTTCAGTTGAATCTATAAATCCTTCAAACTTTTTAAAGTATCAATTAATATTTGTAACATTAAAAAAAATAATTACTGTTTAATGCTCTTTTTCTGTTGTTTCTAGGGAGGATTTAGGATTTAGATTTATATCTGAGCAAGTCAGCCACCATCCACCTGTTAGTGCATTTTATTCTGAAGGTCTCAATCAGGACTTTATTTTTCATGGATCAATCTATCCCAAATTAAAATTCTGGGGGAAGAGTATAGAAGCAGAGCCTCGGGGAACAATTACTTTGGAGCTTCTGAAGTGAGTATGAGAAGTAAATACCTTTTGATATTGATCTCCTTAACATTTACTTGAATAAAGAAGACGGGTGATAATCATCCTATTGGCTCTTTGTAGGTGGTTAGCTAAAAACCTCTTGCTGAAGACAAGAGGTAAGAGTTGATTTACAGGTTAATTTTCACTGCTTAATTTCAGGGCTCTGTTTGTTGTTGTTTTTTTTTTTTTTAAGATATGCCATGCTTGTATAGCTGTAGCAATTTGACACAGTTTTTCTGCTATGAAAATTAGCATTTCTGAAAAATTGAGTGCTACTGAAAGCTAGTTCTGTGAAGGCATGTAAAATTTAAATAGATAAAATTCTATTACTGGGCTATTCAAGCTCATCTTGATTTTAAATGTTGTTGTGGGTTTTGTTTGTTTGTGTGAATATGTTCGTGTGGAAAGAACAACGTCTTCAAAATAGCTCTTCTATGCAATAAAGGAATGTCAGAAACTTGTCAGGATTTCCTTGTCACCTACTTAACAATTCCTGTGTAGGATCACCTTCCTATTAAAATGAAGAATGCCTCTCCAGATTACTCCTGGGCTTGTCTCTAATTACATATATCTTTCATAAATCACATTACTTTCCATAAGCTGGTTTATGCCCTGTTGGCACAAAGACTCTTGAGCTTTCCCAAGTATGACACGAGGATGCACTAGCTAATAATTGCAGAAAAAGTGTTCTGCAGTTGAACACTTAAAGGTGCTTTTATAAGAGCTTTCCTCAGGCCTGCCTCTGAGGTTGTTTTGAAGTGTTTGGTTATGAAACTTATAGACATTTGGTTTCAATAAAGAGTCAACTTGCCTGCCATGTCAAGCATTGACTTTTCCTGCAGTTTCTTTTGAAACTATAGTTTATTTGTCGAGCTGCTGGCATCTAATCTTCCAAAGCTTATAAAGTGATCTTGGATATAAATGGTGATGGAAATAAAGGAAATTTCTTTCTGAATGTAGAAAGAACTATGAATATTAGTGTAGGACGCAGATGTGACAAAAATACAGGTTGTTGCTGGAGAAAGAAACTTTATTTAGAAGTCTATTAAAATTCTTGCTCTGCCTAATCAAATTACAGAGCACAGATTTAAACTGGAGTATAAGTGATTAAAGCATTTATTTTAAATAATTGCTTCGAGTTAGCAGCAGAAGTTGAAATAAAATATTGAGTGTCTTCGTTTGATTCACACCATTCTGTTGGTTTGAGTAGTTTGAGAACTGCTCAGGGCCTGAGTGAACAAGTAACTGTTTAGGAAGCAAAAATTGCAAGTCCAGGTTAAGTACTGCATTTATGTTAACCATCACTATGTTTTCAAAACATGCATTAAAAACCACACACTTCTTCCTCACTTCTCCAGCACAAGTAGGTGTTTCAATTTATCAGCACTGGCCATGAGTGTCTTGTGTTTTGTTTTATGCTCTACAGCTTTTGGTGTCAAGTAAGGAAATGAGTAAAAATGTGTGCCAAGGCTGATGGGATGAATTTGGAGGGTTCTGGTATTTTTTTCCTCACTTGAAGAGTAGTCGTAGTTCTAAAGTATGCTTGAAGACAATTTGCTGTGGAAAATACTCAGGCTTTAATGATCTGGTTTTGCTCTGTACTGGAAAATGACAGACTGGTTGGAAATATTAAATAGGAGTGTTCTTTTCATACTTAATGGAACTGGAAGTACAGGAGATTTTTTACAAAGAGGACACTGCTTGTTTCTGGATTTTTTTTTGTATTAAAATAGAGTTTGTAAGCTTTCCTAAGATGGATTGATTGCCTACCAGATAACTTCAACATTTATTTTACCAGCATGGAAAGATGAGTGAGAATAGATGATATCAACTCTGCCAAGCTAGTGATAATAGGAGTCCTGTTGTTTAACATTTTGTCCACTTTTAGAATAATGTCTTTTAAGGATTTAGGATCTGTTAATTCATCTTTGTAAAGCTTTTCACAAAACATTAAAAACAAAATGAAACTAAGCAGAAAATTCTTCAATTCTAGGAGTTCTCCTTCTCAGTAAATCTATGGGAAAAGGATGGAATTGAGTAATAAATTGGATTTTTAAATGTCATGTTTATGAAGCTTGAATATAGTGCTGTTGTGTCCCACTGGTGTTAAACAACCAACCAAAAAAAATAAAAACCAAAACAAAAAAAAAAACCAACCCAAAACCACACACACCCACAAAATTGCCTTCAGTGACACTGGAACAGACCTCATAATACCGATGTGGGAACCTGTGGCATATTTGCAGAAATCACTTGTGCAGTTTGCTGACTCATAGTGCTCTCTTCAGGTTCTAAAAGACTTTACCACCCTGGGTTTGTAAAATGCAGAATTGTTTAAGTGGGTTAGTCTGACCAGCCCTTGAGGAGGAGTGTCTCCATATCGAACCGTGGTCAGAACTGGTGGTGACTAATCTCTCTGCTGGAAGACTCGATTATTTATCTTTAGTGCTTTTTTTATCACAACAAGGTAGTAGAGTTTGCAGTGCTGCTGCAGTAGTTGGATAGGAGACACTATGAGGTGTTAGTTCCTCGGTCAGGTTCTCCTGTGAGTATTATATTTTATCACATGCAACTTTAAAAGTGCAAATGAAAAAAAAGATGAATTCCTGAACTGTTGTTTATATTGAGCTGGACTGTAAATCTTACTGTTTCAACTCTGTGTGAAGAAAGAAAAATAAAGGGGATATCACTGATATCACTTTATTAACTTGCACTAATGTTTAGATACAACACATTATTGGCTTATGAAGAAAAGTCTGTTTCTTTTCTATCCTGAGGTTAAATGCTGGCTGTTCATAGGAGTGCTAAATATTTTACCCTGCCATGAAGAGAATTGAAAACAGGTTTACATCCCATCTCAAACTCAAGAAAATCATTTATTTCTCTCTTTTCTTTACAGACATAACGAAGCTTACACGTGGACAAATCCAACCTGTTGTGTACATAATGTAATTATTGGTAAACTGTGGTTAGAACAATATGGAACAGTAGAAATTGTAAATCACAGGTAATGCTGATGGTGAAACTGAGGGTTGGCTTAGAGGGACACGGTCACTTTTGTTACAAAGCAGAGTGTTTTGATTTTGGTCAGATTACACAGGAAGCTTTGTTTTGTTAGTCCAAAGTCTTGTGTGTGATGTGGTGTTATTTTTTGTTTTTTTTTTTTTCCTGCCCCTTCTGACAAATGCAAACTATTTGTTGGACTGGGTTTAGTATTGTATTGGTATTATGGGATACAAAGATTTTACGTTTGTGAGTTACTCATTCAAATTCAGTCCTATTGACAGAGAACCAAAATTTAAATTTAACTCCAGAATCATTAAATGGAATAATTGTTGGAGGCCTGCAGTGGACCTTCATCATGTGATTTGAGAATAGAGAAAGTCTTAAATTAAGAGTACAGCACAGAAATTGACTGCAGAGTAGGATAATGTGAACTTAGAGCATGTCAATTGCTCTGCCAACTGTGTATATAAAAGCTTTTAACCTTATATAAAATAAATGACCTCCTGTAAGGATGAGGGAGAGAATTTTGTGCAAACTGTATTAACTTCTGCCTGTGTTTTTCTGTCAATAAATGGGAGCTTTAATCCAGCAGGGATGCTCTTTTTATACTTCTCATAGCATGAAATCTACAATCCTGTCTCCTGTATTGGCACAAAAGACATAGGATGGTCTCTGTATGCTTTGTGCTTGATATAAAAACTCGGTCTGATACCTTAGTGGGAGAGATTATTTACATATATGCCCTTTTTATAAGGGCAGTTAATGACAGACAAAAGGGGAAATGGCTCTAAACTGGAAGAGGGGAGGTTTAGATTAGATATTAGGAAGAAATTCTTTGGTGTGAGGGTGGTGAGACACTGAACCAGGTTGCCCAGAGAAGCTGTGGCTGCTCCTCCCTGGAAGTGTTCAAGGCCAGGCTGGATGAGGCTTTGAGCAACCTGGTCTAGTGGAAGGTGTCCCTGCTGATGGCAGGGGGGTTGGAACTGGATGAGCTTTAAGGTCCCTTCCAACCCAAACCATTCTGGAATTCTACCTCAGTGCAAGGAAGATGCTGAAATATAATGTGGTTTATGTTTGTAAAATGTTCAGAATTTTTGATATGCAATTTAGAGGTAACTTTTGAATGCACTTAACTGGATTTTCCTT